CCCCTCATATTATTCACGCGCGCAAAACTCTTTGCCCGTCTCCAAGCTAAACGCCGGGCTCGTATCCGTACGGCACCGGTGTGATGTCGTCGCTCCGATTCCTTGGCAAGGTTGCACATCGCCGTCATGCGAGACCGCCTTTAAGGTATCATCACAAGTTTCCCACCACCTCCTCTTTATACGCTATATCGTCCGTCGGCATCTTCGTGCTTGTCGTTCGTCGTCTTCGGCGTCGGACTCACTTCCGTCGTATTTTCGGCGTCGGGTTTCGCGACAGGTGAGAGAAACAGGAAGAAGAAGAGAGATAGATGCCCGTGGCACGAGAAACAGCCCGTACATTACTGTGCACTCCTACCGAGCCCTAACCTAACATAATCTAACCCCACGATAAACGCGTAATAAGTTTTACCGTGAATAACCTCAGTTACGCTACATTGTTCAAACCTATGTAGTATTAGTGTGTTAACGTTTCGCCGTAAACTCTAGATTCCATGTGACGTGGTGGTAGCGCTCATTGTACTTTCTCGTGTGTGATTTGCATTGTGATTGAAATTGGGATGTATATCGGATTAATCTAGGTTATCGTTGTCCGTTATTGATAAATGCGATTAGATTGTTGTCGTCCTGTGTTGTTATCGTATAGGAGGTGATATCGCATAGTAATTGACGCTTGTCACAATCGCTTATCAATTTTCGCAATGAACGTTGCAATTTTCGTTGGATTGCACACAGAAAGAACATTGTCTGCCTTTTTTCATTAGGCAATTCTTTTTCAATTTGAGAACTCCTTAGTAGCCGATTAACGGTTGTGCTCTGTGTGCCTGAAGGCTTAAACCTCTACGGCTTGTTGTGTAGTCAAGGGATCTTGTGACATTTCCAATATACCTAACCTAACTCAATGCTTTGGCAGAGGGGGGGAGGGGAGGCTGCAATTGATATAATCCTAAAGGTTGTATGTGACAGACAGTGGCGCAATAGACGTATATATTTTTGGGAAAATTTTGAAGCAAAAAATAAAAAGCATTTTCTTATGGTTACACTTTGTCCAAGCGGTCCCCATGTTACTATGTCACAACCGTGTATATATACAAATATATTTTTGAAGTATCCACACGAGTGGACTCGAGTGCCGTGAGGATATCGAAGTGACCTCCACCTCTGCTTTTCGATCTATTCTGGACACTGCGGGCGCCTATCTTTAGAATTCTCATTGGCCCAGTCTTTAAGACTTGGCCGTTTTCAGACACGGTGAGAAACACCGATAGAAGATGCACATATATTCAGAGAGACGAGAGAGACAAGGTAGAGACACATTGGGCTTTTTTATACTGGGGCTTGATAAGTCAATTTCTTTTGCTATTCTTTTCGAAAATTGCATATTTCGGAGTCATTTTACGATCGGTCGAGTCCTCGATTTTTTAATGATTTGAGGGAAAATAGTATTTTTTTTTTAAATTGTGTATAAGTATATTTATATTTTTTATTGAATATATAATGACAGATTCTTTAAATATTGTTTTTCCGATGAACTTTGTATCATTTGAATTTTATATATTTAAAAAAAAATCATTTATTATACTTTCTTGGTGAGTTCAAGATTTGCAATCGTATGATGTCTTAGCTCTGTAAAGTTGCCTCCCCTCTATTATACAAATAAATAAAAATAGTTTAATGCTGTCTGAAGAGTTCTAGAGGTTCAGATATTTTCCAGGAACAGTTCTGTCGATCGAATTTGAAAAATTACGATTGAAAAAAGTGCGGGGGTGGTACCTTCACAGTGCTCTCCATTTTTTACGAAACGTAATTTTTGTTGACAGTTCTGAATACATAATCTATACTTTTCATCGAAAAATTTTGAAAACATGTTTCGGCTTTTTTTTACATAATGATTTTTTTTAGAGTTCTAAATATTTTTAAAAGAATTCTAGAGCTCTACATTATCGGTCATGCTGTTAGTAATTGCTACAGAGGAATTTTGATAAATGTTCTGTGTGCACATTGAGTTTTTTTTCTTTGTATTCGCTTATCCTAAATAATTCGACGATATCGAAAGTTGGCAGATGCACTTTCAAATACCAACTTTCCCTTGAAAGGCAAAATAAATAAAAAATTTTACGCAACTGATTTTAGGCGTAGTAATTACAGTCGTAATTACGCGCTGTACCTGAATATATTGATATATTAACAAATAAAATATGTCCTTTAGTACCATTTTAAATCAAACACCACGTCATATATACGTACACGCAAAAAATAATTACTAGAATTCTGTCAAATTTCATTATTGTGATTATGTTTCACTAGTTTACTTAGTAAATCTCCCTAAAACTGTTCCGATGCTCCCAAGTATTTGTTTTTATCCAAATACAAAAAATTCCTCTAGTAATTGTAACTATACAAATTTAATGCCTCTAATCAATAGCAAAGTGGTTATATATTTTGTATCTTAATTGCTACCCTATTTCCATTTGCCGTCAGTACTGTTTCTCTTACCGGGGGGGGTAAGAGGGGGGGGGGCCCCCTTTGGTTTTCCAGTACTGCATTACTTCTTGCCCCATTATTTTTTTTATTTGCACAGTACTCTTTAACCCAACTTATCCTATGTCTTGCCGTTCGCCAAGGTTTTAACAATGAAATTATCCTATTTTGTGTTTACTTTTGTGCCAGATAAATATTATACATATATAATCAGCTCAAAAGTTTGTCTTTATCCGATCTTATCTGATTAGATACAATTTCATAAGAATTCACTGGGAAAATGTAAATTCTGTATAAATAATATTTTCAAAGAGAAGTTTAATTACAAGTATTTTATGGAATATTAATTATATAGTAAAGTGTATCTTTATAAAACTTTATATCTGATTATATATAGTTTTATATGATTATATAAAGTCGTTTTTCTCTCCCTGGAAATCTTTGTTTCTTTATGATTATTCATAATTTGGGATTCATTCAAGCCTGATACACATTTCATTGAAAAATGCTAATTCTTTTCTTATATCGTCCCACGGTTTACATTGATTCTTACTAATGAACGTAATGTTTGACAGGTGGTTGCTTCAGGCCCTATCACCTTCGCAGTAGGAGAGGCCAGAAACAATGGTCGACTACTATATTATTTTGGACGTATCGCGTAGCGCAACAAGTGCCGATATAAAAAAGGCGTAAGTACATTTATACAAATGATCGACTAAATTTTCTCATATTTCTCTTTCTGGCTTTACGTTTGTTACGGTCATAGACAATGCATTTTCATTGTCATTTTCATTGTAGATATAAGTTCATAGACGTATGTAACCTAGGATCTCACGAATAGACTTCATATTTACTTGCAGCCATCATAGTTCCACAGTTCTTGATAAGTTTTAACAATAGTTCAATTGATTAAGAAATGAGATGCTAATTTCCCGTACTGCTTGTTAGCATCTCATCGAATTTCACATATATGAACATGGAGGAAGAAAATCATGCAGAGTTCTATCCCGTAAGAAAGTTATTTCAATAGTTCTAACGATTAAATCACGTGGGAAACAGTTTATCATATTTATCAGTATCTCAGCTATACTATAGTGAGATGCTGATATTTAGGGGTCAGTTCCGAACTCCCTCGCGGGTGTAATGCACATTTTTAGTCGCCCTGCATACCCTGGAGAGGAGTTCCGGTCTCTCGTCATTTATAAATAATTATTAAAGATATGTGTTGGCACGAGTACAAGCGATATCCGTCGACTAGAATCGACTAGAACTGTGGATTCCACCCGCGAGGGAGTCCGGAACTGACCCCTAAATATCAATATCTTATTATAGTATAGCTGAGATGCTGATAAATATGATAAACTGTTTCCTACGTGGTTTAATTGTTAGAACTATTTGAGATAACTTTCCTAGGGGATAGAACTCTGTAGGATTTTCCTCCTTCATGCTCATATATGTAAAATTCGATGAGGTACTAACAAGCGGTACGGGAAGTTAGAATCTCATTTCTTAAAAATGTGATTTTAAAGGATAAATCAATTAAACTATTGTTAAAACTTATTTATTGTTAACTGTGGAACTATGATAAATGCATTTAAATAATGAAGTCCATTCGTGAGATGCCTGATAGTTGAGATGCTAGGTTGACACAAGTAGTTTATAACTCGTTTACTTTACACAGCTCTAAGTTTTTTTTAATTGTTGTTATGTAGTCTTACTGTTTTTTTTTGTTAAATTATCTTAAAAAGTTTTAAATGCACATTTTTTGCAATTTATCCATGCTGTTATTATTATTCAATACTTTTAACATTTAGTACGGAAAATGTTTGCTCTGATCGTTTGAGTGTTGTTTTAAGTTTGCGAATGCAACCTTTTACTTTAGTTAGGTAATATTTTTCTAAACACAGTGGGGGGAGAACGGGGAAAAATAGACGTTATAGGCGCCCAGGGCGAAAAAGGAAGGTATATTTCAACGGGCAAATAAACTGCCATAGTCTCGTATTTATTAAATCATATAGAAAATAAAGTCGATTTGCATAAGAAAACGTCAAGCCGCACGGAAAAAAGTATTCTATCTTCATGATTTTTTTTAGTAAAGTTTCATTTGCAAGCTTTTCTCATTAATAGAAAATCTAAGAAAACTAGAAATAATTTTCCCAGTAATTTGGAATTATCTATTAGGCTATCTGTTTTATCTTAGATATCTAGGGGGTGTTTTGATGAATTGGAAAAAAAAAATTATTCTTGAAATTATGCAATTTTTTTATTGCCATACAAGAAATTCCCACAACCCCCGGTTCGCGGGGTTGAACATTGTACAAATAAAAAAAGACAAACTCAAGTTTATTGGAATTTATCCAAACTGTTATTATTATTTAATATTTTTAATACTCTTTATGGGCAATTTTTGCACAAACCAACCGAACGCCGTATTGCGTCTGCGAACGCAACTCTTAGTCAGGTAATATATTCTGAAACGCAGTAATACTGCATGTTCTACAGGGTTGTTGTTAATATAATAGAAAAAAAATATTATTCTTAAAATAATTATTTATACGTGACGTAACCTCAGTCTAAAGTTCTTAAAATAAATCGTTTAGATTAGGCTTCTTTCTAGAGCTGCAATGTCTTTAGAATGAAATATTAAAATGTCGTAGTAATTTGGATCAATTTTGTTTCGTTGATGAAGCAATTGACTTTACAAATCGATACTAAATCAATCAACCAAACTCACGCGACCGAATTAATAGGCATTAAGGGTGCCAGAGTTTAAATTAACTCCAAAGTCGATCACTGTGCTGACAGTCTAAACGATTTGCATCGAGTGCAACGATTTTTCATTGCTAAACGAAATTATCTGCAATACGGTATAACAGAGGCTTCGCAGTAAATTAAAAGGATTAACATTTTCGGCTGTTAAATTATTGATTGTTCGTCTTTTACGTCATTTTGTTGTATAGTTATGCTTCTAACTGTAGATGACATTCCAATAATCTGTAAGGGACGGGCGCATATTTTCTAAAGATTTTCACCAATTTTTATTTAGAACTTTATTACGTGTGTCGAAAATTCGGCTTTCCGTCTTTTAGAGGTTAAAGTAGCATTTTCTGTGGCGATTGGTCCTCCATAGAAAAATAAACCACTAAAGGATAAACAAGGATAAACAAGGTATACAGTACTTGGACTAAACATGCTTGGGGATGGATTATGATTGATATGTAGTTTTTATTTTGTTGTGAGGTTTTGTCTATTGAATGTTGGAGGAAGTGTGTCTAATAATATCGAGGTTCACGTTTGTGCAGTTTTAACTTCAGGAGGTAACCCTTATGTTAATGAGTTCGCGCATGATATTGAGAGTTAAGGAAGTTAATGTGTATCGTGTTAGAGGACTCTGACCCGATTCACGGCCAACACGCAACAGTGAAATTGGTCGGAGCCATTTGGGTGTTACGAAAATAAACTCTGCTGCCATAACTGAGTTATGTCTTGAAGTTGGAAGATCAAGAGAGAGAGAGAGAGAGAGAGAGAGAGAGAGAGAGAGAGAGAGAGAGAGAGAGAG